GAAAAGGAGGAAATTGAAAGCTTTTTCGAGAGAAGAGAGCATCCACAAACAATTTGAGGTGAATGGGTTGAAAGGGAAATGTTTCACACAAAAACACATCATTCGGGAATCAGAATTCCCGAATGACGAATGAATGGTGTAGGCGTGGAGTGCTTTTGTGCTTTAATCTCAATCAGCTATTAGATTGTCCAGTTATGAATGTATGCCTGCTTTTGAAAAGCATACGTAAAAGTTATACAATTTTATTAAACTCAATTCTCTATATGTTGTTCAGGATTTCTTATTTATTACAACTTTTCGTGTTTCTGTACAGCGTCAAACCGTCCACCGTCCTGTACAACGTCTACCGTTCCGTTCGTACAACGTCCAACGTCCTGTACAACGTCTACCGTTCCGTACAACGTCCACCGTTCCGTACAACGTCTACCGTTCCGTACAACGTCCACCGTCCTGTACAACGTCTACCGTTCCGTACAACGTCTACCGTTCCGTACAACGTCCACCGTTCCGTTCCGTACAACGTCCACCATCCTGTACAACGTCTACCGTTCCGTACAACGTCTACCGTTCCGTACAACGTCCACCGTCCTGTACAACGTCTACCGTTCCGTACAACGTCCACCACTCCGTACAACGTCCACCGTTCCGTTCCGTACAACGTCCACCATCCTGTACAACGTCTACCGTTCCGTACAACGTCCACCATCCTGTACAACGTCTACCGTTCCGTACAACGTCTACCGTTCCGTACAACGTCCACCACTCCGTACAACGTCAAACCATTTCATTTTTGCTTTAATTTTTGTGTTTAGATGGATGACACGAAGTTTTTGTCTTCGTGCTAGCCTTTGGTTTGACTTTAAATTGGGCAAAAACGTCGCTGAATCCCATCAAACATGTTGATCTTTGTCTCGTCACTCCAGAGGGCCCTCTTCCAATATAGAAAATACTATAGATTTTGTCGATTTATAATCCTTTTTCAATTCTCTCTAATAATATCTCCTAACACAGGCACAAACAAAAATCTCTAATAGTCCTTTTTCAATTCTCTCTCTACTCTAATCTCTAATCTCTCTAGGAGGGAATTGAAAAAATAGTACTATTAGGGAGAATATAAATAAATACTATTAGGGAGAATATAAATAAATACTATTAGAGAGAATAAGGTATCTTAAAACCGCGCATTTATAACTGGACAACCTAATAGATACTAGATTAAAAGCAAATCCAGATTTATCATTTGATAAAGTTTTAAATGCATAAGAATGAATTGATTTAGATGAGAGTCGGCTTTTGCAAAAGCAAGCAAAAGTTTATCCCCTCGGATTCCCATTATTTTGAGTGCTCCCCTGAGACCTAGGGAACATTAGGGCAAGTCTGCACTTTGAAATGACACAGAAAAAATTTCCGGTACTTTCTCTAGAACGGGGAAGGGGATTTGGCTAGCCTGCAGTTTACTGCTGTCTAGCCAAATCCTGAGCCTCCCCCAGCCAATGACCATCAAAGTGCTTTTTCTGACTCAGTTTTTTGCGCTGATTACGAATAACTATATCCAATCGCCGTAAACGTTAAAGACCAGCCATATTTTATGCTTTTTTTTTGTGGCCTTTGCACCGTCTGCACCTGCCTATAGGTATCGCGTTTTTTTGCGGTTTGTGCCTGTGTTAGGCGCGCGAAAACGCAAAAACAAACGTGCAAAAAGAAATTTAAAACAAATTTACTGAGTCTAAATAAGGTGCAGAGTTTATTAAAAATTTTATTAATTTTAAATAAAATTTTTTTTTTTATAAATTATTTTTTTAAATTATTTTTTTTATTTTAATTTTAATTTTTTTTTTTTTTTTTTTTTTTTTTTTTTTTTTTTTTTATTTTTATTTTTTTTTTTTTATAAAAAATATATTTTTTTTTTTATATTTTTTTTTTCTTTTTTTTTTTTTTTTATTTTTTTTTTTTTTTTATAAATTATATTTTTTTTAATTTAAATTTTTTTTTTTTATTTTTTTTTTTTTTTTAAAATTTTTTAATTTTTTTTTTTTTTTTTTTTTTTTTTTTTATTTTTTTTTTTTTTTTTTTTTTATTTTTTTAAATTTTTTTTTTTTTTTTTTTTTTTTATTTTTTTTTTTTTAAAAAAAATTCCCTCCCCTCCCCCCGATGAATTCCTACCCCCATCCGATAAAATTATCCCCCCACATCCGCTCGAAAATGCGTTTTCTATAAGATTTTTACGTTTGAATAGCCATTTGACGCAGAAAAATGTGCTGAATTCAATGGTGAAAAAATTATCAAAATCCGTCTTGTAGATTTTTTTAAAATCACTTTTTATCAAAAAAATCGGTCACTTTACACAGAAACGGCCAAACTCACCTGCATTTGCCCCTCCACTACTCGATGATAACAAAAAATTAGGGAAGGTCAGGGAGCAGACTTTGTCAAAATGTTGTCTGCGGTCATTTTGAGACCAAAATCGTATTAATTGGTCAACTCACAAAAAAGCTCTAACATTTTGAAGACAAAAATGACGTTTGACGACTTTCTGCGCGCTAAAACGTGGATAATACCGTAACCCTTCCCATAAGGGAAAAAACTACTTAAAGAGCGGTTTCAAAGAATTTTTTTTCATTTCGTTTTTCTTCTTCTTTTCGAGCTTACTTTATCATTCTCATGTCATAATAATTGTTTCTTTTTTCAGATACCTCATTGATGACCAAATCAATCAGCACAAGCATAAATATGGATTTCACGAGGTTATATTGTTTCTGTGGTTGTGGTTTAAGCGTGAAAGTTTAGTTTTTCTTCGATGTCAACAACCGGACGGATTTCAAGGACTATGGTTTAGATCAAAAGTGTGTAAAGGTATGTTTATTTTAAAATTATGAAAACAAGTGCATCAAAAAATAGGAATAGCAGTTAAAAAAATTTAATTAAGGGAGCAGTAAATCTTTGTCAAAAAGTAGAACGCGTTGTGAGTATGTTCTTGCCGCATGTAGATAAATTTCGAGATCACTCGCGCGTTTAATCCTCTTACATAGTTGATTGAAGGCAGAATGAAGACATTCGAGACCTTCTTCTGACATAGACCCTAGCGCTTTATGTGTTGATAGAAAAAGGGGAACGTGGTTGTGGTTGTGGTTTAAGCGTGAAAGTTTAGCTTTTCTTCGATGTCAACAACCGGACGGATGTCAAGGACTATGGTTTAGATCAAAAGTGTGTTAAGGTATGTTTATTTAAAAATTATGTAACCATCCCCCTAAGCCCCCCGCCTGCAAAGACCAAAAAAGTTCTAGAAAGGTTGATTACAGTTATTCATATAGATACACTTTTTAAAGATCCTAAACATTAAAGATATTCAGTTTACTAAATGAAAATCTGCGACAGTGCTTTGTTTTTTTTAACTGTCAAATTTACGCCAAAAATCATTTTTCACCAACTTTCCTGCAACTTTCTTGAGCCTTACTTGCTGCCTTACTTACTTGGTATACTTTTCACAAAATATTGCATTACTGTGCGATTAAATTTGACCCAGACAACTTGTCCTCATTGGCGGGTAATATTTCAGATGATCCTATCCGTTTCCATACAATTTTTTTTAATCTTAGACTTCGGGTTCAACGACTTGTAAAAGTCAAGCTTCACTAACCATACAACTCTGTCCACCCGCCCCATTTCCATAGTGCTTGTTTCTCCCCGATTATCATACTGAAATTTTGTGTTGTTTTAACATTCCCGGTTTACAGACCGTTTATGTATTCAAGTTAATTGCAACACTAATTATTTTTAGAGGTTCCACTTGCCTTGTATCCTTCATTTTTTTGATGATGGAACCAAACATATTGGGTAACGAGATATCTTTCACCTATTGAGTACTAAATTCTATCAATTTTAGTTTCAACGCCACCCCCAATGTCTAAATCCATAAACAAATGGATGTACTATGCTTTCGATCCGCAGACCGGAAAATCGACGGCGGTGTGCATCCATCCACGTTACTTCATCACCTTCCGTCACGGTGCACAGCTTCAACTTCAAGTCGGAAGTGCTATGCGAATATTTCCTGCAAAGAGTGAAACCTACTGAAGATCAAGGGCCCAATGTCGCCGTCGCGAACATAAATGAAGACTTGGACTTAATTTTGCTCCGAAGCGAAGTGAATATTGTTCAGGTAAAATTTGTGAAAATATGCCTATTTAGCGAGTATTTTTTCTAGGAATCTCCACGATTGGTGCAAGCTGAAGAATCCAAAAGCTTCCTCCTAGCAGGATTTGGTTCCATGAACCCGGGAAGAAAGCACTTAGTCTATCAAACCGGAATCGTCCACACACTTGATGAATATCGTTGGTCCGACAGTAAGAGACCGGGTGCAGCTTTGGGTCCATTTTTTCTCGGAACGGTACAGAGTTCACCCGGAGATTAAGGTAGGATTTTTTGTTATATAACCCAAATAAAAAAGCTTTAAAAATGTTTATTTCTGTACAAAGAATTTTAGGTGGAGGATGCTGGAGCGCCAAGGGGCTTATTGGAACGAATTACGGTGTTACTCTCATGCCAGAGACGAACCACTGGAACGCCATTGCACAAGCGGCAATCTACAGCCCCAAGAACATTATGACTCCGGCGACTCTCATTAAGCAATGTCTCGAGGTAACATTTAAAAGATTAACTTTAATGAAATTAAATTTACAATTTGTAGGATCAATTAAAGAAAGATGAGGAGAGAACAAAGAAGGAAGATGAGGAGAGAAGAAAGAAGAAAGAGAAGAAGAGAAGAAAGAGGACGAGGCTTCTCTCGGACCTCCGGCGAAAAAGCCTTTGCTCGCGATCAAATGGAGGATCGAATGGACGAATGATCGAAACTAATTTACTAAACAAAATTCTTCTTGTGACATATTCCCCCTTGTTTTGTTTTGGCATTCTTTAACTAATCTAATTTCATTTGTTGTATTTGTCAAATGTAAAAGTGTGAAATATCTACTTTCAGCTATTGATACCCTTATTGTTTATGTATGATTTATGTAAATCGGTGGGTTGTGTAATAAAACTGTTCAATGAATTAAAGTGGGGCGGACGGTTTAACGGATTGTCCCATATGATTTTGGGTAGTATTATTACTAAATTATGTCATTTTTATCAATTTTTGCCTTACTGAGTGAGTTGTGGTCTCAGTTTGGTTATTTTACGCCTTGATCTGTTTTGGCCTAATGTCAACCTGCTTAATGTTAAAAATATGTTGATCCTTGAGACAATTGATATTTTTAAAGTGTCATAGAGTTCATTTTTCAAAATTTTAGTCAACCTTTATGATTAGAATACGTTACTCTATGCCATGTGTTTCTAGGAGGCACATACTTTAGACAACTATCGCACTTAACCCGCCAGTTTTCATTCGATCAGCCAAATTTTTGTGCCATTGACTGAGCTTTGTGATTCCTCATCGAATGATGCCAAAATTGGGCTGATCGAATTGAAATTGGTGGCAAAATTGCAGTAGTTTTTAAAATAGAAAATGCGCTTTAGTTGATTATGATATTGGATCTCTTTTAGGAAGAAGAAACTCGGAGAATCGGGCAACGAGGAGGAAATAGGCGAAAAGAGAGGAGGAGAAAAAGAGGGTTTGATATTTTACTTTGTTTACAAGTTGTAATTTTTTAGTTGGAGATCTCAAGGAGAAAGAAGGGCCAACCCGTTTTGCACTAGTCGTTTATTTGAAGTTCTATGTAAGCTAGTCAGATAACTTTTTGTCGTCGTAAACCGAAAAATCAAATCGTTTTGCTTTAGGTGGCCCTCACAATTTTCGTGTCGAAGTCAATTGTATGCCGGTGCTGTTGCCCGCCATTGATTGCCGTTCCCGGGCTCGTCTTTCTCTTCCAACGAATCGGAAGTTTGTGTTTGACTCTTTCTTCATGCGTCTTTAGGCGCCAAAAGTTTTTGTGCCATTTCTGCTGAAAATTGACTTTTCATTGTCATTAAGCAAAAGTTATTCTATTTTTTTATTTAGAGTTGCAAATCCTTTTCATATTGTTTCAATTGATGACGGCGATTTGCGAGTTTGCATGGATTTTTTTCGTTTTCCTCTGCAACGAAGATACTAATCGATTCCGCACCCCAAAGGCGATCGCACTTGAAGTGCTCAAACTTATCCAGGTGATTATCATTGTTATCATTATATTGAGTATTTCTTCAGGTGATGGTCGTTATTGTTTCGATTTTCTTCCCATTCCGAGTGTTGCACCTTTGTCGGGTCAGTTTCCACTGAAAAATTTGATATTTTTTTATTTTAGAGCAAAAAGAGAAAGGCAATCACTGAGCTTTCGCTCACTCAGCTCAAGACTGTTCCCATGGGTGTGTTACTTTTGTGTCGCTAATTTGTTAATTTTTGTGTCGGTACCGAAGGCTTCGGTATAGGCTTCGGATTTAATACTAGGGAAGATATATTAGGATCTATACCGAACGCAACGTACAACGAAGTCAGTACCCTTCAGTACTGAACCCTTCCTCGTAATACTAAGCTAATCTCTTCGGTAATACTAATCCTTCGGTATCGAAGGCTAATCTCTTAGGCATTTAGATTTTATAATTTTATCCCTTTCAAATCAAAAATCTCCAAAAACAGCAATTTATTCCTTTTTAGATTTCCAGTTTTTATTAGCCCCGATTTTTCCTTTCTTTGCCTCAAAAATTGACCTCATTTTCTCTCAAAACTGAAAAAAGAATCAAATTTTCACAAAATTCTCACAAACCTATTGATATTAAACTATTATATTATCTAAAAAATGAATACTAAAGACAATTTCTTCAAAAGCTTTGTTGAATTTCAAAATATTCAGTCAAAAGACTCATTTGCGACAGTTTTCTTCAATGAAATCGATCATTTTCACTCGAAAATCGCTTTGGTAACGATTTTTTTGATTTGAAATGGATAAAGCTTTAGATTGATCCTGAATTATAAAGTCTAAATCTATTTCTATATGATTAGATATAAATTTTAGATTTTAAAAGCTTTAGATTGATCCTGAAGCAAAAGCAACACTAACTTTCACTCAACTCAAAGAAAAAGTCACGCATTTCACTGAACAACTCCGGAAATTCTCAGTGAAAGGTTGATTTTTGAATTGAATAACTGAATATCTTATAGATTAATAGATTAATTGATTAATAGATTAATAGATTAATATTTTCATTTATTAACATTTTATTTGCTTTTTTCTAGGCGAAACCTGGGCAGCTTTATGCGGAAATTCGGTCGATTTCGTTGTTTTCTCATTGTCGGCGAATCGACTCGGACTGACGCTTTGCCCGCTCAATCCAGCGCTGAAATATTGTTGGTTCAAGAAGAGAGATTAGATGATTCAATATAGATAATAGATAATAGATTTATAATAGATATATGTCGAAGCCGATTTGATAATTCAACTGATTTGCTAAAGAAGCATGAAGCGGTTAGCCAAAGAAGTGGTTAGCCGATTTGCTTTGAAAATTTTTGATAGCCGATTTGCGTCTTGGATTTCAGTGATCACAGAATGACGAGCTTCGTCAGGTGATCCTGAAATACTATAAGAAACTTGTAATCAGCATCGAGAACGGATTAAAGGTCAATGAGATCGACTTGACATCGCTCGTTCTGCGCCTGTTTGACGATCGGCTTGATGATAATCGGCTTGATGATAATCGGCTTGATCACAATCGGCTTGAAGACAATAGGCTTGAAGACAATAGGCTTGAAGACAATCGGCTTGATCACAATTCCCTTCTTTAGTATCCCCTTCTTCAACTCGCACTCTGCACAGTTTAACAAAGAAATTGGAAGTAGAAATTGGAACAAACTAAATCTAATTGCCAAATTGGCTAGCTATATGCTTACATCACAACTCAGCTAGCGAAGATTTTTCAAAACAAATCGGCCAGCCGACATGCTTTCATAGCAAATCGACTGAAATAGCAAATCAACTAAAATACCAAGCCGGCTACGACATATAGAAATATTACGATACTTGGTAAGAATCACTTCAGAAATACTTTTACGGGTCGGGCCAAGACAGAATCCATGGCTTTGCTGCATGTCTATCCTGACGAATCAAGCTAGAAGCTAGGCCTTCCTAGCCTGAGCACGCAAAAAGTTTCTGGTTCCTAGAAGCCAGTTCTGAAGCTGGCTCTGGCATTGCCTGCTCTGGCCATAGATTTCTTCTGTAACATTCCTGGCCAAGCCTTCAATTGGTTGCCTTTATTGCCTTCAATTGGCTTTTCTGCTCAAACAACCGAAAAATCGGGTCTAGCAAAATTTAGACTGCTCTATTTCTAACACTTTTTTCACAGATGAAATCGAGAAATACGTGCGTCAAGCCGGGTGCACCCGAGTCGTCACTGAGGCTCGTTTCTGTGAAAAAGCTTTACCAATTTTGCAGAGAATCTTCCAGGAAACGGTACGAGCTTTAAACAGATCAAATTGTGCAATAGTGAATAAAATTCTAGGAGATTTTCACTCTTGAACAACTCGGATCAATGGGTGATGAGAATGTTGAAGAATTGACACTCAATGGGGAAGATTTGTCGGATTTCGCGGTAAATTTGATTTAGTCCATATCGATTGTAATCCTATTTTCTTTAGGCTTTTGTCTTTTTCTCTTCCGGAACTTCGGGAGCACCGAAAGCGGTCGAATTGACGAATCGATCGTTGCATGGGCTAATCGCTCAGATAAAGTGAGTTCAGCCTGTAAGCCAGGTTCAGGACTGAATTTCTGGATTAAGTCTGAAGCAAAGCCAGGCTGCAACAAAGCCAGGCTGCAACAAAGCCAGGCTGCAACAAAGCCAGGCTGCAACAAAGCCAGGCTGCAACAAAGCCAGGCTGCAACAAAGCCAGGCTGCAGCAAAGCCAGGCTGCAGCAAAGCCAGGCTCACAAACCAGTCTGCAGCAAGCCAGTCGCAGCAAAGCCAGTCTGCAGCAAAGCCAGTCTGCAGCAAAGCCAGTCTGCAGCAAAGCCAGTCTCAGCAAAGCCAGTCTCAGCAAAGCCAGTCTGCAGCAAAGCCAGTCTGCAGCAAAGCCAGTCTGCAGCAAAGCCAGTCTGCAGCAAAGCCAGTCTGCAGCAAAGCCAGTCTGCAGCAAAGCCAGTCTGCAGCAAAGCCAGTCTGCAGCAAAGCCAGTCTGCAGCAAAGCCAGTCTGCAGCAAAGCCAGTCTGCAGCAAAGCCAGTCTGCAGCAAAGCCAGTCTGCAGCAAAGCCAGTCTGCAGCAAAGCCAGTCTGCAGCAAAGCCAGTCTGCAGCAAAGCCAGTCTGCAGCAAAGCCAGTCTGCAGCAAAGCCAGTCTGCAGCAAAGCCAGTCTGCAAGTCTGAGCACTTAACGAATCAGTCAAAAGACAAAAAGACCAACAGATCAGTGTTGTTCCGCTTTTAAGCACCAAGTACAGGTTACAGGCTGTACAGGGTGCGGCATATATACAGCATGGCCCAAAATCATAGCGCCACACTTCAGAGGGCCTAGATTGGCCAATATTGGGTCAATCGTTCTGATTTTTCTGGAGGTAAATCTTAAGTATGTCTTCTGCAACGGTGCCCATTATCTAATCAATTTAACCTTTCAACTTTTTTATATGACCTTTCAAAGTTGAGAGCCAAGTGTCGCTCGGCACGCTACTCATTTACGAGCGACACTCGGCTCTCAACTTTGGAAAGCCATATAAAAAAAGTTGAAAGATTGAATCGATTAGATAATGAGCACCGTTCCAGGATGAGCTGGCACAAAATGTCAATGATCTTCCACTCTATAGCCAAGCCTGAAGTTAGGTCAGGCCATGATAGGTCAAGCCAAAGCCAGCTACCAGGTCTAGGCCAGTTATCCACAACGGCCAAGTCTATCTTCTACTTGACTGATCTATCTTGGCCCGAAAAATCGAAAATCCTCTGTATTTCAGATCAATCTCCTCATCATCTCATCAATTCCCATTAATTTCTCCTGATGACATCATCCACGGTGTTCTTCCATTATTCCATGCTGGTGGAATGCTCACTCTGTACACAATGTTGCTTCAAGGAGCCACTGTTGTGATGAATGATCGATTCGAGCCACAGCTTTTCTTGGCAACGATTCAAGAGTACAAGGTGTAACTGGTATTTTTAAAGGTTTAAAGCGTGCATAGGTAGCTTGGGTTACGGTTTCAGACTAGATATAAAAGAGCAGTGTCTATACGGGGTCGAACCCGGGCCATGTGGGCTGTAGACAAGCTGGCTTTCGACTGTGCTCTCGACGGTGCCGACTTGATCGCTGGCAATTTATAATTATCACTTTAGGTCTCCGTCCTGAACATTGTACCGCCAATTCTCTCTCTTTTGACCTCGTGTCCACTCGTTGATAAATTTGATCTCTCCACGTTGCGAATGATCTACGTGAGTTAAGCTAAATTAGGCTGGATCTGTGAGCTGGCTGGATCTGTGAGCTGGCTGGATCTGTGAGCTGGCTGGATCTGTGAGCTGGCTGGATCTGTGAGCTGGCTGGATCTGTGAGCTGGCTGGATCTGTGATCTATAAAGTAATAAAGTTAATTGTAAATGCTGGCATCGATAAGATCAGATTAGTCAAAGTTTAGGTTGGAGCCGCTCGTGTTGAACCAAAATTGATCGAAACGGTGAAAACGAGACTCGACCAACGGGCACTGGAAGTTGTACAACGTAGGGTCTAAGCCGAAAGATACTTATTACTGTGAAATAGTACAACTAGTACAGTATGGCTACAGTATGCCTGGAGTGGTTAACTGTAGTTAGCAAGTATCGAGTTAACAAGTTTCGAGTTAGCAGCAAATCTACTACAGTATGACTAGGCTATAGTAATGTAGATACTATCAGATACTCTATCTGCACTAAAATTGAGTACAATAGTACTGTCGGATTGAAAGATTACAGTACGATCAAGTAGGATTGAAAGATTACAGTAAGATTACAGTAAGATCTTCTTTAATTTGCGATTTAGTCTACGGAATGACCGAAGCTGGCCTGTTGATCTTCATGACTCCAAAAAATAACGAGAGAATTGAGTCCGTTGGATTACCGCTGCCCGGCATTGAGTTCAAAGTTAGTTTAAAGAAAGCTTTAGGGGTTTAAAGATAGATATAAGTTTAAGCTTTAGATAAGCTTTAGATAAGCTTTAGATAAGCTTTAGATAAGCTTTAAATAAGCTTTAGATAAGCTTTACATAAGCTTTAGGCAAGCTTTAGATAAGCTTTACATAAGCTTTAGGGGTTTGTCTATGCTAAATTATCTAGATTCTGGATGATTCCGGTGAAGCATCCAATGAAATTCCCGGGAATTTGTGGCTCCGAACGCCTTGTCTACTCAAATCGTATCGGGGAATCGATTTGAAGCCGATCAAGTACTTACAATCTAGAATCTAATAGCAATCTAATAGTAATAAACTACAGTAACCTGTATGCCTCAGACTCAAGCCTAAGCCTAACCCTTTTCCAGTGCTGATGGCTGGTTCGATTCGGGAGATTTGGCGCGTATCGACTCCGATGGTTTTGTGTATATTGTTGGGCGAACAAAAGAAATGATCAAAGTGAAGGGATGGCAAGTGAGTGATCAAGCATTCTTTCACTGAATATCTACATATCATAGTTCATTTAAAAAGCTGGATATTTACAGGGTGCGTCATAATTATTGCAACAAGATACTCAAGGCATTGCACCCCAAGAAGTTTCACTGGAAGAAGATTTTTAAACAGAAATAGCTTTATTTAACAGTAACAAATAAGGAAACAAGAGATCATTCGATATGACCGCCTTTTGCCTTGATAACAGCCCTTAATCGGTTCGGATATGCCTCCACTGCGGCCCGAATGTCATCTTGAGGAATCGCCTTCCATCCTTTGGTCATAAATCATCCTTTGTGTTTTCGAGAGCAGACATTAGCCTCTAAGATTGCCCAAATGGAAAAGTCCATCACATTGAGATCCGGTGAGTTTGGAGGCCATTCATCCTTGGTGATCACTGAGGGAAAGTTGGCCACACACCAGTCCTGAACCGTCTTCTTCGTGTGAGCGGGAGCTCCATCTTGCATGAAGGTCCAATTTTGATTGTTATTGGCTTTACACGCCCATGACACCACATTCTTGACATCACAAACGGTCTTTGAACTCTTGTTGCAATAATTATGACGCACCCTGTATTTAAAGAAATGATCTTTGTCAGCTTTTGTCTGACCACAGCATACCGGTATTGAGAAAATTGAATGCTTTAAAGATCATGGTTTAAAATGAATGGTTTAAAGATCTTGTTTTAAACTGAATGCTTTAAAGGAGTCATGTTTGTGATCAAAGCTGATTTAGGCTTATATCACTAATCTTTACAGGTTTCCCCGTACGAGCTTGAGGAAGCGATCAAACTCAATGTGAAGGGTGTGGAAGATTGTGCAGTCATCGGAATCGAGTGTGTGGAAAGGGTACAAAAGGAGAGTGGTTTGTTTTTCTGGATCTAACAAGGGAAAAGCACCGAGTCAAGCTGGCCTTTTGACTCGAGACCAAGTCCATCTGATAGAGTCAAAAAAAGCAAAAAAGTTTGACGAGAGTGGAACTCGAACTTGGGAACAGAAATGTAATAGGTTTGGTAGTCTAGAAGACTAGACCATCGAAGCAGTTGCTGAGATGGCGTATAACGGCTTCTGAAGGAATCCGAAATCTCTTTTTGTTCTGCTTTTGCGTTCTGCTTTTGGCAAAAACTAAAAACGGATTTGAGATCCCATTCTATAAGATGGACTTGGTCTCAAATCAAAAAGCCAGCTTAACTCGGTGCCTTTTCCATGTAAGAAAGTTCTAAACAGATTCAGACCAGACTAATCCAGATCTAGATCTAGCCGGTTGATCAAGCTCCGGATCAGGCTTAAACTGGGCCAGCACTTGACCAGCAATTGACCATCCTAGACCATCCTAGACCAGGTTATGCCCGAGCCTGACTCTAGACTGTCTTAGCTCAAACCTAATCTGACCAGAACCAGGTCGGGTCAGTGACTTGACCTGAGCCAAGTCTTGTCCAGGCAAGTCTTGTCCAGGCAAGTCTTGTCCAGGCAAGTCTTGTCCAGGCAAGTCTTGTCCAGGCAAGTCTTGTCCAGGCAAGTCTTGTCCAGGCAAGTCTTGTCCAGGCAAGCCTTGTCCAGGCAAGTCTTGTCCAGGCAAGTCTTGTCCAGGCAAGTCTTGTCCAGGCAAGTCTTGTCCAGGCAAGTCTTGTCCAGGCAAGTCTTGTCCAGGCAAGTCTTGTCCAAGCCAGGCCAGTGGGTTGTCTAGGTTAAATGTAACTTGACTAGTCAATCATATAGCCAAACTTAACTATCCATCTAGATCTTAACTCCCTATACAAACTTAACTCTCTATCCAAACTTATCTATCTATCTAGATCCAATTCCAGAATCATCCTCGATTTCCGGCGTCCGACCATTCGCTTTCGTCGTCGGCGAGAGCTGTGACACGAATGAGGTGTTGAGATTTGTGGCAGGTATAAAATTTGATAAAATATATAGAAAAATAAGAAATAGAAACCGGATTCTAGCTAAGTCAGCTCAGAAATTTCAGAAAATTTCGTTTCGTACAAACATTTGGCCGGGGTTTCATTGATTGAAGCATTGCCGAGGACAGCTTCCGGAAAATTGACTCGTCATCAATTAGAAGAGATTCATAAAATAACCACCATATAAAGATCAATTTTTAGTAAAGTATTTTTGATTAGATCTTTGAATGGTTTATTGTTTTGATTGTTTGGATTGTTTGGATTGTTTTGATTGTTTTGATTGTTTTTTGCTTTCCCAATCAGCGCATTGGACTTTCTGCGGGCGCTGCGCAGACACCAGGATAGAGATCTAGAGATCCTGAAATGACAGATTTTATTTACAAAATATTGGGTTGGTGAATTGAAAACTGCCGGACTTTGAACTAAAATTTATTCAACATAAAACCATAAATTCATTCCAAATAATTTCCATTATTATTGACGACTTCTGCCCATTTTAAAGGCAATTTGCGGATTCCTCTTTCGTAGTAGGGCTTTGGTTTGTGTGTGAGACAAGTGTGAGACTCAAATGGACTCAACAATGGAGGACTGGATGTCAGCTTGTCAGAGATGTCAGAGATGTCAGAGATGTCAGCTTCAGACTCAGTTTGAGCACTTTCTTCAAAAGAACCCCATTTTGGTGTCAATAGAAAAGTTGTAGAGAATCAAAAATTAGGCTTATAGTCAAATTTCCAAAAAGATACACTTAGCCGTTTCGCTTAAAATGCAAGTTTTGTGAAAACTCGTAATCGAAAATCGAAAATTTCGCATTTCTTGAAAACCAGTTTTTAAATCGTTCTGAAAATTTGGATATAAGCTTAATTTTTGATTCTCTACAACTTTTCCATTCACACCAAAATGGGTTTCTTTCGAAGAAAGTGCTTAAACTGTGACACATGACAATAGCCGGCAGTTTTCAATTCACCAACCCAATAGAATCCTAAATCTCCAGTATGCTTACGTAGCTATAGTTCTTTGTAAAGATTGTAATTTGTTTTTTTACGTACTGTACATAGCGTTGTGCCTCCATTTTTGGGCGATTGATAGAGGAATTAACAGAAAAGAATGTCCACCAGTTGACCGATTTCCGCAAATCTTTCCACTAAACGTTATTCGGCATGAATTTTCTCGGCATGAAAAAACGGGAGCTGATCAAAACAGCGCCGGCCAGAATAATGCGTTTGCGGTTCTTTAAGTTTCTATGTATTTCTTTAAGTTTCTATGTGTTTCTTGATTCTTATTGAATGCAGAATAAAATTATCTACATTTTGCATACTTTGAGATCACTTAAAACAGAATTGGTGTCGAGAAAAGCTCAGTTAACCTCTTTTTGAGCCTTTTTTCTTTTGGCATTTTCTCATCTCAGATTTGTTCTAAACGGCTCCGATTCAGCAGATAGCTAATTTTTTTTCTGCGACAGCTTTGGAAAATGACCGCGCTCTTTCTAGCAAAATGGGAGTGGGACAAATGCGACCTTTTTTTTGCGCACCTGGACATTTGCGCACTTTTTTCCGCACTTAGCCCATTAGCGCACCTTTTTTCGCGTTTTAAAAGCTAATATTAACCAATTTAACTAATATTAACTCTAAAAGCTAATATTAACCAATTTCTATTCCAAATGTTGTTTTTCTAGGTAATTTGAGGGCGTAGAATCGAAATTTTGACATAACAGAGCGTGTGGAACCAATTTGAAAGACAAAAAGGGTCAAATTTGAAAGACTAGGTCAAATTACAGAAAATTGTTGATTTTTCTCTTTGTATAACTCCGTCCGTTCGCTTCCACAAGCTCTGATATGCTAAAATTTCGATTCTACGCCCTAAAATTACCTAGAAAAACAACTTTTAGAATAGAAATTGGTTAATATTAGCCTTTAGAGCTTTTTTAAAACGCGAAAAAAGGTGCGCTAATAGGCTAAGTGCGCAAAAAAAGGTGCGCAAATGTCCGGGTGCGCAAAAAAAAGGTCGCATTTGTCCCACTCCCGGCAAAATTTCTGGCTCTTTCTGGCAACTTTTCAAAATCATTTTTGTGTTAGAAATTTTAGCTTTCCCCCGATTTCACCAAATTTTTGTTTTTCCCGTAAAAGCATTGAAAAATTCGCCGAAATTTTATATTCTTTTCGTTTCCCAAGCCTTTTTAAGTTAACTAAAATCTGTTTTTCAATCATATTTACCATTTTCTCGGCTTAATGTACATTTTAGATAACACTGGTGATGTCGTCGATACACTACAAGTTTCGGGCGACCGTCGAACTCAAAACGGTTAGTCTTTTTTTGTCTAATGACTACTTTAAGCCATTACAAGTGGTTAGTAAATTAGTAACTAAACTTATAAATGGCAATGGCATTTTACTCGTTCAGCATCTGTTTGTCAAAACATAAGTTTTTAAAGCATTGTTCTCTTTAACTTTTATTCTTTTAGGTTCGCTTTGATGGATTGCACGTTTTGTGCAGTGATTTGAAGAGGAAAATCTACAGCAATGAGAATATCAAAGTCGAATCGTTTGACTTGATATTAACAGTGAGTTTGTCGCGTTTTTGAACGAAATTGGCTTTGGCACTCTATTAAATGAGGTCTAGTGATTTGAATGTCGAGTCGGTCTAGTTTTAGTAGCAAGTTGATCACGTTTAAGCACAATTCTTATTCATACAAAACTTACAATCAAGCTTGTAATAAATATTTTGGTTTAGAATGCGCAGACGAGACGCAGCTATGTGGACAACGAGCCGGTGCCGAGAAATACAACTATCATTGTGCAAAGAGTTCCAAAAGAAGGCGCCGAGAAAGCACCAAAGATTCCGTAAGTTTTTTTGGATCATGGAGCAATCATTTTCTTTGATTGAGGAAAGGAAATGGTGGCTTAATTATGAAGAGTTCGACTTCTGATGGCTCGGTGGTGAATCCGAATGTGATTGGACACTTGGATCAGGTACGGTTTGTGTTAAATGAGGATAAGCTTAAGCATCTTTAGTTGTAAGTTGTAATACCATATATTTGTTAACCCTTTTATTACAAGCTCTTTTTTAGGTCGACCTCGACAATATGACAGAAGAAGAGAGACAAGCGCATGTAGTGGCTGTATCTACATCAAAATATGATCAATCGAAGTGCGTTTGTTGTAGAGTAGCTAACAATCACAGAGAGCTGACGAAAAGTTAGTCTTTGATCGAAATGGCTTTTTTCTGGGCTGAAAAGCACCGTCTAAACAAGCTTTGGCTTTTCGAAAGTCTAATAACGTATTTTGTTGAGTAAGGAAATTTCCTGATAATAAAAAATTGCTTTTTTTTAGTTATGTGAAACGCATTCGAAACACGGTCATGTCCGGTCCACCGCCAACAACATATGTTTGCAATCGATGCAATCAAACGGGTCACTGGTATCAGAATTGTCCGATGGTTGGTTTCTTCACTTTGCGATTTTTGGTGTTTGAGAGGAATAAACTTTTAATGACCGTTTGTAGCTGTTTTTGTAATTTTTTATTTGTCAATAAACTATGCGAAGCATTTACAAGTCATACGGAATTTTCACACGAAGCTGAGAGTTAAATTTGATAAATACAGCTGGGTGCCACAACTTTTCTAATAAAAGAAAAGTGGAGACAAGTAAAAACTTGTTGTATCTCTTGAGCGACCACCTTGTAGGCATTTTCTGCCAACTAAACTTGGCATGCAGTAGAGTGTTAAATGGAATCCAACTACTGTAACCCTTGCCGTACCCAATTTCCTATTTTGCAGCGATTGCCATTAAAAGGGGGCTCTCTGGGGGACCATAATGGCCAACTTTAGGCGAACACAAGAAAAGCGACAGGGATGACGATGGACGAATTGTTGGTGACAACAGCCGATGATCCACACGCACTTCTGCACTCATCCGGGCGCTATGTTGTGCCGAAGATGCATCACCTGGCTCGACAACAACAAAAACGGCCGTCTGTTGAAGCGCCTGAAGAAAAAACATCTCCAGAGAACATCGTTCAACGTGTGCGCATCGGGTTGGGTCCCACGGTTTCGTCAGTGCAACCGGTACTCTTTTATTGGGCTACAATTCAGATTCTTCTTTTAGGCTATACGCTTTCCTGGCTCCACTTCACAGCTCACACAAATCACTGGGGAAGTCACACAAATCACCGGTGGCGGCTTTCATCAACCACCTCCAGTGTTGTTGGACACGAGTGTACCGCCGCCAAAGTGAGTTTTGGTTTTTGTTAGGTTATCCAGAAAGTCCTTTCGTTCGTTGTCATACTTTAGTTAAAATTCACCAATTAACCTATGGTTTGCTCTATTTATTGCTCCATAAAAATTATTTATTGCTCCATTTCCCATCTTTTTAAGTCAATTTGGTCCACTTTCAAGCAAATTCGAGAGTGAAAGCACGTGTTTTTCCCAGAAAATCTATAAAAACCTCTACGAAGAAATTGGCTGAATGAATTTCCCTGAAAATTTAGCTATATACCAAACTTTTTGGTGCCCTAGCTATTATCTATTGACACGAAGATAGGGTTTCCTTGGTTAAAGTGTCTAAACCGCATTAGCGAGCAGTCGTCCTTTTTCGTCGACCGTCGTCGACCCGACTTCAGGCTCCCTAAAAAAATCCAGACAGAAGACATTTTAAAGCCGTTTTAATGTTATTTTGCAAAAAAATAATTGGCATTTCTAATGAAACAAACCGTAGTTCAATTGGTGCGTTTGTTGGTTTTAAACGGAAGTACGAAAAGGAACGAAAAGACATTCTGGACAGCCTAATAGTTGGATCCTAGCTTGACCCTGGCCTAGCTTGACTCAGCCTTTACTTTTGCCTTGACTAGAAAACAGAAAACAGCCCTTTTGCTTCTAGAAAACAACCTTTTGGGCAAGGACTTATAAATACTTTAAAATATCGTGATCAATAGGTTCTACAATTTTGCTGTGTTATAGAGATTAGTCATTTAAATTAATCAATATTTAAAGTCAACGGTCGACCAATTCAAAATATTTCTAGGATCATCTCTCTCTCTCTTTAGTTTCACCATCCCGCCCACATCGTTGCACATGACTCTTCCTAGCTCAGCCGTACCGGTGTTCAACATGTCCGTACCCCCGCCTAGTATAAATCTGCATACACCAAATTATGCTAACTTTGGTGCGTTTACCATTCTTCTATTTTAAGTCACAAAATTTAAGGTGCTCAACACGGACATTATATGGGTCACACCGCCGTGAAACAAGAATTACCGCCTGGGATTGATGATTATTGGTGAGTGTGAGGGTTTTTAAAATTACCTACCTTAAGCTATTGTAAAGGCTGTGGTTTTAGGGTGTCATTAACGGTTACAGTATCCAATCCACTCTAAGCTTATAATTATAGTGATCCTAAATTAAAATTCAGCGAAGTGTAGCCTTGATCATTTTAAAAACATGTAAAATATCGAGATATTCTATTTTGAGAACACTCAGGTTCACTTACCGTAATCTCTGCCTAAATCTTTACAATTTTCTTTTCAGTGGCGGCCTTTCAATGGAGGATCGGCGGTGGTCGACCGTGGGCTGTACATTTTCATCAACGAGTCGACGGCGATCATCGCGTTCATCTCGTTCTCGGAGTCGATCACCTGTAAAGAGACGATCTCGAAAGAAAGACCGAAAACACAGCAAGAAGAGAAGCCATCAAAGTCGCAGTAGTCGTAGTGAACAGAAGCACAGACGTCATCGCAGCACAAGTCAAGAGGGTGAGGTTTTGTAAAGAGTCTATACAACGTGCAAAGTTCTTGGTTTTTGTGTTGAGTTTCTTTTATCTTTTTAGGACGACGAAAGACGAAAAAGAAAGACCGAAAGGACGATGATCGAGAAGAACGGAAGTCCAGGTATATTTTTTGAGATTTTATTTAATTTAATTTTAATTTAATTTTAATTTTAATTTAGACGATCACAAGACAGTGATGGTGAAACTGAGGATCGAGGCAAGGACCAAGTCAAGGACCAAGTCGAGGACCAAGTCAAGGAGCAAGAAAGGAGCAGGAAAGGTGAGTGGATGATTTTTGCACTCTGAATTGTTTTTAAAAGCAAATTTTGATTGAAAAGCGGTGAGTAATCGCTAGCAAAAGCAAACTCAGTTTTGTTTATTTTTTGTTTTAGGAAAAGATCTCGACGTGCCCGAGAAGATGGTGAACACGATAGCAAAGGCGATGTCGCCCCTGAGGATGTGAATTTGTGAAGCGTTCCAAAGAAAAAGTGCTCTTTTGTTATTTTTATTGATGTTTTTTTTTGTTTTTTTAAAGTTAAGGCTTAATAAATTTTGTCCTTAATTTTTCTCATCGATTATAGGTTTGAAAAATTGGGGTGGCGTTTTCAAAGTCGACAGCTTTTTTAACCATTTTACTAAAACGCAACACTTAGAAAAGTCCGGTTTTTTCAAAAACAACAACAAAAGTAACAACGATCCGAATTTGTACACGTTTTCACGAAATACGAATAATGCAAAGAAGAAAATAATTGGACGGAAAAGGATTTTAAAAACGATCAAAAATTTTGCACGATTCGTTTAGTTCATTTCCATTTCTTGCTCGCGTTGCGCCTGTGCTTGTTTGGCCTTCTTTGCTGTGACAAGTGGAGCTTCGATAAGGTGCAATTTGGTCTTTGCCTGAAAAGAATATTACAATTAGCTAAAATATCTCATCTTGATGCAGTTATCGCTAGTTTAAAAGTTTTAAAAGATTGGAACAATAACAATAGTTATTGACCAATTTAATCTCCTAGTTCTCTCAAACAAACAAAATCTTACCTTCTTGATCATTCCGATCTTCTTGACCACTTTGCCTGGTTGTTGATTCTTTCGGATCTTGTTAGCGTATCTAAAAAAGTAAATATAGTAAATTTTTAAAAGTCTTAAAATATTCAAGTGCTTTAGCTTCTGTGCTTGAACAATCAAAAATGTTAAAGTTTCATAAAAAAATTCAAACCTTTTATTGCGAATCTCGGAGATCTCCTTGGCAGCCTCAATCGATTTCTGCCAAATTTCACGCTCGTATTTGACCGGCTCGTTTCGTCGCACCTAAATAAATAAATTTAAAGTCTTAACAAAATCGTTTACCTCCAATTGTTGTGTGGTGTCTCCAACAAGCTCTTTACCGCGCGCTCTCCTAAAGAATTGGCATAAGATGAGTTTAAAGGATAATAGTTTTAAAAATTTAATTCAAAAATCTAAAAATTTCTAAACCTTTAAGCGTTTACCTGCTAGCCTTGGTCCATGCCGTTTTTCTTGGATTGCGTTTCTTCTCGAAGAGGCGACGGCATTTCGAGCGACAGAAGCGGAACACCTGAAAATAAGCATTTATCATTGTTTAGCTCAAGTTTAGTAATCTATAAATAGTTGATATAAATAAATCGTCAACTTCATAATATCATTGCTAAAAGACAAGTTCAGCAAACAAACTCACACTGCAATCGTTGCGCACAAAAGTCATCCCGTGACCGGGCCAGATCGTTGACGAGCAGAAATAGCACTTCTCCAACCTCATACTCGTCGATTTTACCTGAAATCATTGAGATCGTTTACTCGCAAAATTAAAAAAATAAAATAGAACAGGAAAATAATAGGAAAACTCGTAAAGATTGACATAATTTGATAATAAATTATATTTGTTTTTTATTTAATCGTCGTCAAGGGGACTCTTCTCTGGTGGTGGGCCGCATGGTTGCACCTGAAATTTATTAAAATTAAAACTTTAACTACATAATCTGTTGTTTTTCAATAGTAAATAATTCGTGAACAAATTTAACGTAAAAACTTTCTTATACCTTTTAGATCGATTTTTAAACCAATCAACCAATGAATACTCACATAAAATTGCTTTTCAAGAGTAACGATTTAAACAGTTGCAACAGGATCTACCTTTTAACCGTGATCTATCTCAAAAGTCAAAACCAACCATCCGATTGATGAGGTTGAACTTGGTACGAGCGCGCGACTCGTGCTCACAAACCGCCATGTATGAGAGGAGACCCGGATGACCGACCAACGAAGCGTACGTGTCTCTAAAAAAAAGAGATTAATAAACTAGTTTCGATAGAAAACAAAGCGATCACTAATACCACAAAGTACCCTGATTGTCGATTTTCCCCTTTCTTTGACTTAAAGAGCCCAGAGTTATAAACTAGGCCGGAGGCAAACTAGAAAAACAAAACAAAAGGCGAACCTACTCAGGTTTAAGCAAAACAAACAATTCGATTGAAAAAATTAGCGATCCAAATAGCATTTTATGCACAAATAGAGAAAACGACCACCAGAGTTAAGCAGATCTCAATATCGCATCGATAAATTGGTTTGATGGTCAGTAATTTCTCAATTGTGTTTTTCCATCAAATTCTTACGGGTGTTCAATATTTATGGGGACCAGTAGATTACTAGTTTTAGAACTCATTTTGTACAAGTTTAATGCTAAAAAGGAAACACACTTAAAAATACGCCCAACGTTAAGAACTTTAAGTTATTTTTTTAAATTATTGCCTTTTGCGCTATTGCTTGTCTAGAAATGCCTCTGGCAGAGGTCAGATAAATTGTAAATTGTACATATAAATTGTCAAAAGTAAAAAAAGCTTGTCACAAACTCTTGTTCAGCTTTTTTGAAAGAACCAAAACTGAAATCTGATTCTAGCATTTTTAATGTCTCGTAGATTCGAAAACTGTTAAATAGTGAAGAATTTATCCTCATTAAACAAGAAAAATCGGGGTCTGACTCCTTTTGGTGGAATTTGGTGATCGAGTTCCGATGAATCGATTTTTGGAATATCAAATTTAGTAAGCCACCTGGAGGTTGGAGGCCACCTATATTTTTTGACCGTTTCACTTTCCTAGGGGTAATCGAGGGCGCTGAGCACGAATTTGACAGTTTTAGCATAGGTTTTCAACTCAAAAACCGATATTTCGGCACGTTGAAAATGACACTTTTATTTTCCTAGGCTATGGTTCCGCACACTCGGAGACCTGATTGGGCACAGGCTATAGCCTGATTCACCAGCTCCATAACGACTCACCTGAGCCTCCGGGTGTAAGGAAGGCCTGAGCTGGGTGAATCGGGCTATAGCCTGTGCCCAGTCAGGTCTCCATAACCTAGATAAATAGCAGTGACTAGAAAAAATAACACAAATTACTGTGACTTTTTAGTCACACAAATTTAAAGTTGCATTTAAAGTGCGAAAAAGCGTAATTTTCAACCTGTCAAAATATCGGTTTTTCATTGAAAACCTATGCTAAAACTGTCAAATTCGTGCTCAGCGCCCTCGGTTACCCCTAGAAAAGCGAAAAAATCAAAAATATGGGTGACCCCCTCAACTCACAAAGTACCAACTGTAAAAATAATTTAGAAAGTCATACGAGTTAGAACAAACTCTTGTTCCAACTCCTATGCAGTGCTTTCTTCACGATTTTTTTCTTCATAAACCAATTTTGTGAGCGCTAAACGATCTGCGAGCTCAAAAGTGCCCATAAATATTGAACACCCTGTATTTACCTATGTACATTCGTCATCCACTCCCATCGTGACGTGTCGGCGTGTCCGCATCCAGTGTATTTCGATTGCAAGTGCTCCAATTGGGCCAACACGTGGAAGCGCTCGGTGGGCGCCGATGAGGTCATTGTGCGAGTTGTTTTGGTGTTTTTGAAGAGATCGAAGTGCCCTAGAAACTGGAAAATGAGTAAAATGATCAACAAAAAACAATTGACAGATCAAATCGAGCCAAATCGAAGAAAAATGGGTAAAACTGGATAAAAAACGCTTTTGAAATGGTAAATTGGTGCAAATAAGCATTAAAAGTGCTAATAAGCATTGAAATTCCAAAAAAATGCAACCAAATGGAAGACTTTGAGTGCTGAAAACGTTTTAGGCTTGCAAAAATGGCTTTTCTGGGCTTACCTAGATAATTTTTACCAAAATATCCGAACTAAACGATAAATAGAACACAATTATCGTTATTTTATGTATTAAAACGTTAGCTAAACTTAGAAAAAGTATTTCTAATAAAAAAACCTTAAGCCTAAAGATAAACCAAGAAAAAAAATTACCCAACGATAATTTTCGCAAAGTGTATTTTGTACGTGAATCCTTGGAATAGGAATGTCATTTGAATTGACGCGTTTGCGTAAAGCTTTGATTTTTTCACTTCAAACGCTTTAAGGCTTTAAAAACAACCTCAATATTTATGATCTTGGGAGTGTGACAAATGCGACCTTTTTTTGCGCACCCGGACATTTGCGCACCTTTTTTTCCGCACTTAGCCCATTAGCGCACCTTTTTTCGCGTTTTAAAAAAGCTCTAAAAGCTAATATTAACCAATTTCTATTCCAAAAGTTGTTTTTCTAGGTAATTTTAAGGCGTAGAATCGAAATTTTGGCATATCAGAGCGTGTGGAACCAATTTGAAAGACAAAAGGGTCAAATTTGAAAGACTAGGTCAAATTACAGAAAATTGTCGATTTTTCTCTTTGTATAACTCCGTCCGTTCGCTTCCACACGCTCTGTTATGCCAAAATTTCGATTCTTCACCCTAAAATTACCTAGAAAAACAATTTTTGGAATAGAAATTGGTTAATATTAGCTTTTAGAGCTTTTTTAAAACGCGAAAAAAGGTGCGCTAATGGGCTAAGTGCGGAAAAAAAGGTGCGCAAATGTCCGGGTGCGCAAAAAAAAGATCGCATTTGTCCCACTCCCATTATCTTTATTATTATTAATTTGATTTTATATTTAAAACTTAAATTACTATTAAATTTAGATATTCAACCATGTCCTCAGAGAATCCATCCACTTCCGGCATTGGAAATGTTGAAAATTTAAGGGACGAAGCGATTGAGGTCTCTTTTTAAGAAAAATCATCTTTAAAATTGATAACTAAACAGCTTTGAATAGTAATTATTAAAAAATAAACCATTTTCTAAAAGAAATTATCATTTTCAACAGATTTCCGAGGATTTCTACCCACCCGACGAGCAAATGACTATCATAAACGATGGGGAATTCGAGACTGAGGTAAAAAATGGAGTTATATATGCAAAAATATAAGATATAAGATATTTTTGGCTTAATTTAGTACACTAACCATTTTCTATAGGCACTAGGTGATACTACTACTTGCACTAGTGATGCACTAGGTGATGCTCATCCATAAGCGCTTCGGTGTTGTTACGGATATTCCTCTTTCTTGGTATAGGCGTGATTTGGTAACAACATATTCTTGATACGATTTGGTATCAACATATTCTTGCTAGTTTTTTCAAAAACAACCTAATCTTTCTTTCGTTTTTGAGATATTAAGACATAGAAAGCAGGTAAAGAAATTTTCGACGTCCCTTGTTGCATAAATATATAGATAAGCGTATTCAGTCTAGATTGGGTATTCAGTCTAGATCAGCTGGATTACGGTATTTAGTGAAGATTCAGTTATTCAGCCCTGAATAAGGTATTCAGTCTACAATAGCTGGATTACGGTATTCAGTCTAGATTGGGTATTCCGTCTAGAATAGCTGGATTTCGGTATTTAGTGAAGATTCAGTTATTCAGCCAAATATAAAGTAAAGCTGGTAGAATTGATTTGGCACAACTTTGCACAATAAACAAATAAACAAATAGCAACAAATCCGTTCTGAGCTTGAGTACAGCAGTCTGCCAATTTTTCAGGGAATTGAGGTCGACGATGAGGAGACCGAATTCGAGTACGATCCAGTCACTTTCAACTCGTCGCGGGGCTACTTGGAGCTTTATCAGGTTTGAGAGTTTTACAATATCAAGAAAAGGTTGTGTATCAAGGCCAGGTCCTAGGCCTGAGCCCAGTACTGTATCTTGTCACTACCCTGGAAGAGGTCACTTTATCGTAAAGTTACTGTACTTCCGTAAAGTCTGTAACTGTTCTGTAAAGTCTTACAGTAACCTTTTCAGTTCTACCAGCCGATGACCGTCTCTGACAGTCAATCGGGTCCATGGATGTGTCGTATCTGTTTTACAGCCGGTCAATCAACATCGTTCGCCACTCGACAACAATTTCAGCACCATCGCTATAAAGCTCATGGAACTTTTGCGGTAGGGAGCTAGCTACCGTAACCCAAGTGTTGACTACGGTAATGTATCCAAATTTCAGCACAATCTCCCCTGTCCGTTGACGAGTTGTCGCCAATCGCACGCTTCACTACAATCACTAAAAAAGCATCTAAAAGACGAGCATGAGTTACCCATCGAAACACACCATCGAACGTTTCCCGATATGCAAAGATTTGAGGTAAAAGTTGTGCCATAGCTCTAATGTTTGATTGCTTGGAGGTCGGAAGGTACTGTAGTTGATTAGTTACAGGAATTACTGTACTAGGGCTTGGATGTGGTACTGTAGCTGTGCAGGGATACTGTAGCTGTTGAAGAGGCTACTATAGCTTTTGAAGAGGCTACTATAGCTGCTGAAACAATATCCAACTCATTGTCCATTTAGCAATGGCGGCAGCTCATCGAGAGTGCAACCGGGGCAAAGTTTCTTCTTCACAACAAGCAAAAGGAAAGCCGAAGACAGGTATTTGTTAATTTATGATGAGATATTTAGATATTAGGTGTGTGAAAAAGTAATCCACGTTTTTAACGTTTAAATATAAAAGACCATAATTTTCGTTAAAATAATTTTTATTCAACGAAGTAGTCACCATTCGAAAGAACAACCTTTTGAACCTTGTATTATATAAGAACCTTGTAGAACAACGTTCTAGAAGTAAAGACATTCCACGATAATAAAAATCTTGGTCCTTAGAGGCGAAGAAAAGATCAACCTCGGTTTTGACATCTTCTTCGGAATTGAACCGTTTATTGGCCAAAAAGTTAGACGACAAAAATAGACGACGACAAAAATAAATAATAATCAGATGGATAAAGGTCTGGACTATAAGGTGGATGTGGTAAAACCTCTCATCCAACACTCTGGATTTTTTGTCGAGTCTGTAAAGAGCCATGTGATCGCGCGTTATCGTTCATGCGGTATCCAACTTTTTGATAAAATTCATGGCATTCAAGCGTTTCCTTACGGTTGACCCATCACAATTTAATGTAAGGCCTATTTCTGAAGAGGTTGAACGAGGGTTTTCGAGAAGACAGCGTCTTATTTGGTCATCAGATAAAAATAAAAAACGTGGATTACTTTTTTACACACCTAATATATTTAGATATGTTTAGATAAAAGTAACAGATTATGTTCAGGTAATGCACTGCGTTCGCAGCGAGCACAAAACCGGTTCAGCGCTGCGAAAGCCGAGGTTTACACGCTATTTCAAAAATATTTAAGAATAATTTAAGAAAAACGGGTGAAAGTATGCTTCGAATGGCAAAAGAAGGGTCCTGTTGCCCGGCGCATATCTCATTCACACTGGAGAAAGATGGGTGAGTGCATTTAGCTTAGCTATTTCTCTTTTAGCTATTTTTAGCGGGCTACGTTTTGATACAAAAGACGCTTTTTTGAAAGTATGGGCGGAAAAAGAAATACTAAAAATTGTCCCAATAGTACTTTTTGCTGTCTGGACTATTTAAATTGATTTTTCTCATCGCTGAAGATGAGCTACAAAGAAAAAACTAGTTCACAATTCAAGGCAAAAAGAGGTGGTTTCTCCAATCGATGGTGATGTGATCCATCACCAGCGATAGTGATGAGCCCAAGACGTCATTTTTCTTTGTGTGCCGGCTTCAGTTTGCTTTCTTCATGGTGCTTTCTTCATGACTGCTCTTTTGATGTAAGGCATACACTTGATGGCTTGAGAAAGGCTTGAGAAAGAGTGCTTTTGTGGACGGGAGCTCTAAATTTGCCTTAGGGGTTAGGCTCTAAGGCAAATTTTGCCTTGACATCACTGAATCAATGTAGCGACATCACTGAATTCGACAACAGACGTCCAATATGCCGTTCAGCTTTGAGCTTTGACTCCCAGAGATTTCTTCTTGCCATAATTATCCTTCAAATAATTAAGGGAAAGGATCCTTCAAGAAATTTGCAACAACTTGATGCGAGCGCTTCATTTTCTTTGCGATCTTCCGATTCGACAACTTTCTTCCTTTCAAAATCGCAATTTTTATCTGTTCAATCCGCGAAAGCGATTTTCCACAGCCCATCTTCCTAAAAAATAAAAATTATTTTGAAAAAGTAATAGGACAAGCAAAGAAAATGAATTATTACAGGTAGAGGTTCTTTTCCAATATCGGGGGAGCGGAAGGATTATCGGGGGGAGCAAATTTTGGCAGTGCTACATATATCCTATTTAAAATTGTGACGAACGGGAGCTTGCTTTGTTGCAAAAAGTTATCGACTCGAATTCCTCTTGAATGCTTGGGGAATTTTCGCCGTGCGCAAGTGTCACATACCCAGCGAAATAGATCTTTTCCCTTTGAGCGGACTTTCATCGATTCGCCACATTTGCAAATCCACGACTGGATGACTCCTTTGGTGACGAAATAATCGATTGCCGTCGATTTCTTGACGCACAAATATCGGAGAAGCGTCGTTAAAGTCGGAGAAGCGTCGTTAAAGTTTTAAAAAAACGTTGGAGTTAAAATACAGTCCCGGAAATGCATTTTTCGAGGGGGCAAAATTTGCTCCCCCGATTTTCCTTTCGCTCCTCCGATAATCTTTCCACTCCCCCGATATTGGAAAAGTACCCAGGTAGAAAATAAAAAAAAGAAAATTGGTGGTCGGATCATTTTGCAACAGATGCAAAATGATGCAAAATGATATAAATAAAGAAATGTTTAAAAATTTGTGGTTTTTAAGGCAAATGATTTCGTAAATGGTATTTGTGCGTACTTTCGTATAAAAAATTAAAATTTAAGCGTCGTTTAGGGTTATTTAAGGTTAAAAATCACAAAAATCAACGGTTTTTTATCATTAACGGGGGTGGGACAAATGCGCCCTTTTTTTGCGCACCTTTTTTTTGTTGGAAAAGGCCTTAGGCAAGGCCGTAGAGCTTCAAAAATGTTTCCATATAAGGGAATCGTATGCGTAGATTCCGAATTTCGACAAATCAGACCTCGCTGACACGTCAAATTTGGCCTAAAAGGCAAAAACTACGCAACTTAACGCTTTTCTGCAGTTTTTGCCTTTTAGCCCAAATTTGACGTGTCAGCGAGGTCTGATTTGTCGAAATTCGGAATCTACGCATACGATTCCCTTCTATGAAAACAGTTTTGGAGCTCTACGGCCTTGCCTAAGGCCTTTTCCAGCAAAAAAAGAAGGTGCGCAAATGTCCAGGTGCGCAAAAAAAAGTCGCATTTGTCCCACCCCCGTTGACTGAGCTTTTCTCGACACCAATTCTGTTTCAATTCTGTTTTAAAATGATAAAAATAAAGAAATGTTGAAAAATTTTTGGTTTTTAAGGCAAATGATTTCGTAAATGGCATTTGTGCTATACGTTTCTAGGTGTAAACGGATGTGGACTAGAATTTGGGTTAAGTTAAAAAGAGTGGATCCCTTTTTGATATCCCGCCATCTCTAACACACCGACAACCCAACTCAACTCCTCCAACGTATTAGAGGGGAGTCCCTGTGAAATGACCGACCTGTACTGATATGTACATAGTACATAGACCAGAGTACATAGACCCGGAAGATACATATCTTTATTTACAGTAATACAGTAAGATGAATAGATTAGAAATGAGTGTAAGGGGGAAGGAGGGACTCCTAATGAGAGTCTCATTTGTCCTCCTAGGCAATCCTAAGGACCGCCCCTTCTCGGCAATAAAAGGGATAAGCACAGAGGAGAACACATTTGCATAAGATTAGACAAAGCATTCAATGATAACAATAGTAACTAAAATATCAGTTTGGCGCGGAGCTGACAGTGCGTACTTTTGTATAAAAAATTAAAATTTAAGCGTCGTTTAGGGTTGTTTAAGGTGAAAAATCACAAAAATCAACGGTTTTTTCATCATTAACTTAGCTACGATCATTTTTATCATTAACTTAGCTAAGATAGATTTTTTTTGATCCAAGCTTTATCCAATAGTTTTACAATTTTCAGCACTGTCAACGTCATCTACCAAATGGTGCACGTTGGACACGGAGTTTTCGGTGGAAATGAAGAAAATGGAGAGAAAATGGTAAGCTCAAAACGATTACAGACAAATACGTTAAAAAAAACAGACGGAAACTCCTACTGTAGCCGAGTTTCGTCTCGCGCCTCGACCAACGTATTTGGGCGAAAAACCGATGCAGTTTTTACAGGTAGACAGAACTTTCAAGCTTTCAAGCTTTCAAGCTTTCAAGATCATATTTTAAGATCGATATCGTCGAGATGAGTGTCTCACTGTATGGAATGAGTCGATATACGCATATTCTCATGATCACCGATTTGAGAACAAGTACGTGGCTAGGTTTTTGGCTAGCTAGCTAGCGTGGCTAGCTTACGTGGCTTTTTAGAGTGGATTACGATAGCTAATAGCGATAGCGATACCTTTTACAAATTACAAAATCTTTAGAGTACCTCTGGGCTCGCCCCTTGCAAGATTTCTTCGATCGAAATTTACTCGTTCGTCACTTTGTCGACATTTTCACGCAATTCGGTGTCCCGGGTTTGTTTTGAAGTGATCAAAAGATTATAGTAAGCCAAATTTTAGAGGGTTTTTCTTCGTCGATGAATTTCGAGCTCGTTCGTTTGGCGATGAAAGTCATCGGTTTCATTTTCAAGACTGAGATCGTCGAGATCGGGAATCAGGTGTGAGATCGGGAATCAGATTGGACTACGGTAATTGGGGAAAGATTTAGACGCCTGACTACTTGGCGTTTCGACGAAATCTCTACGATATGGCGGCAAACGAGTTGAACAATCGGTGAGAAATGAGTACGCTAGAAAGTTTGGATACTGTCGTTATGTAGCTTGGCGTTACTGTAGCTTGGGGTACTGTAGCTTGGCGGTACTGTAGTTATACATAGGTGTAACTCAGGTAAAAGTTATTACAGGGTACGGCATATATAGTGTTGCGCTTAATGGATCTTTTTGACTTTCTAAGACAATGCATTAACCTAAGCTGAAAAACAACGATTAATCATAAAATCTACACGTAATTTTACATAGAATAGAAGAATTGTAACAAGAGTGAAAGAATGAAAGATAGAGTGGAAAATCATTGATGACATTTTGGGGGTTTTGTGCCAGCTCACCAGGCACCTGTCTTGGCTTTGCTTCAGTCTAACAGTCTTGTTAGACTCATTGAGTCTAACAAGCTATGCCGAGCTCTGACCTGACCAGGCTTATAGTTAAACTAGACAGTGACCTGATTTCTAGACTAGACATTGACCTGATTTCTAGACTAGACATTGACCTGATTTGCTAGAATCACTGACTTACAAAATTAAACCTGATTAAAGTGTGTTCCTCACGTTTCATACGGTTTTCTAAACGTTTTCTAAAACAGGTCCCCGAGAAAACAAAATTCAATAGAGTGTTGCAACAGTGTTGCGCTTAATGCATCTTTTTTTTTTTGCTTTCTAAGACAATACATTAAACTAAACTGAATACAAATGGCGAACTTCAATCATAGAATCACACAACAGTCAACGAAAGAATAACCTCAAAAAGTAACGGTAAAAATAAATAAATAGTAAATTTTAGTGATCGCTGGGCGGAGATGATCCCATTCGTGTGTCTTCACTACAATCAGACTCCCAGAGGCACGGAAATCCCACCGTTTGAGGCAAGGATTGGGCAAAGATTGGGCAAAGACTGGGCAAATATTGGGCAAAGATTGGGCAAAGACTGGGCAAAGATTGGGCAAAGACTGGGCAAAGATTGGGCAATGATTGGGCAAAGATTGGGCAAAGATTGTATCGTAGCTTGTATTTGTAAATATTTGC